TGCTTGGGAATGTGGATAATAGCTGGTGCTAGTGCGCATGCAAAATACGCTTGACGATATTTTTTTGAAGAATTTTCTTATAATAGTTATGTCTGTTTGTCTGTGCTTCTAGCTTGATACGTGACCAACATACCGGCACTGCACAGTTGGCCAGGACTTAAATCTAAATAGGGGAAATGGATGTAATGTCGGCACAACTTCGAACATACAATAACAACCCTGCCGTCGAAAATAGAGCGTATTGTCAGTAGTATAAATGTCAGAGTGCGATGACTTGCACGGAATCATGCAGAAACCAAATTAATAGGAAGGTGTATTGTGCTCACTTCAATTTACAGGTATATACTGAAATTTGTTGAATTTTTATAATTCTCGATGAACATTTCAAATGGTCCTATCTGATTTGATCGATTCTCTTCATCGACTATCTCTTTTCATGACCACTGCTTTGCAACCAGATTTCGCGCTAATTCTACCACATAGTTTCATAAAGGAGGTTCTTATCTAGCGTCCAAAACATCAAATACAACAGGGAAAGGTTTTGCAGCTGAGTTATTGACGAAAGAGAAAGTCGATGAAGAGAATTGATCAATGCAGATAGGACCTTTTGAAATGTTTATCTAGAATTAAAGTGGTGGCAGGAGAATTATTATCAGCGCATATGGATGTGAAGGATACTTCCGAATCGTGGCAGGAGGAGTCCTTCGATGCGCACTGGTTCAAGCAAAATCGAAGGTTACACCATTGAAGCTTGTATCGATACCTCGACTCGAATTGATGGCCGCTGTTCTTGGTGTTCGATTGGCAGAGTCGATCAGAGCAAACCACAGCCTTGCAATCAGTACCGTCCATTCTTGGATCATTTCCGAACAACGGAAATACAATTGTTGCATCTCGTATCGGGGAAATCATCAGCCGATGGAATCCTTCTGAATGGCATTGGGTAAGAGGTAAAGGCAACGTGGCGGATCATCTAACAAAGTGGAAGGACGGTCCACAGATTGGGGTGGAAAGTCCTTGGTTCAGTGGACCAAAGTTTCTACGTCAGCCGAAGATAACCTGGCCTCAGCAGTTAACGAAGGCGTCGGATGTGCAGGAGGAAATGCGAGCAACTTTCCTGTTACATAGGGTATACGTCCCTAACCTCGGTCTAATATGCAGCCATAGATTACGTTTTTAATCATAACTCATCAATTAATTTACCTGCAAACGATATTCTACTGCTAAATGGTATGCTTAGATATGCTTATCATGTCGTTTGCTATCAGGAACCGCAAAAAGTTGAAAAACTTACTTTTTTTAAGACAAAAACTCACCAGGGAAATGTATGTAATATCGGTCTATTGTCCCCAAATTGGGTCTATTTATGGATGCAACTTCGTCCTATCCTGTTTGATTCTCAAAAAAAACGCTCTTGGTAACGTTTTCTTATGTATTTTTTTTTATCACTATCACTGTTAACTTAATACTCTTCATTCCTCAAAACATTTCTTAGAGAAAATTTTACGAAAACTACATTAAATCACTCAAGTTAAAAATTAAAAATTAAAAATTTCGCTTATCGTCTTTCGACCGCAGAATATCTAAATCAAAACATTGTGATGTTCATTATACAGATTTGGCAGAAAAAATCTCCCTTCCTGTTCGTTCCTTATCATCCAAATGCAAACCACATTGTTGACGTTACTCTTATTGCTATATGCTGTCAAATGAATTTCATGGGCCAAAGTTAGGAACATAGAAAAGAAATGTGTCCCTAAAGTTGGGTCCATGATTTACTTGTGAAAACGTTGTTAAACAATTAAAATAAACATAAAATATTCAAACAGTAACTGTGAGTTTTACGTCTAGTGTGTATTATCAGGTAATTCCATTCAATAAATGCCATAATCAGGCCATTTGATGATCGTCAGTGCAACCTTCCCATCTTAACCTTAGAAGTCATGGCGGCTAAAAACTCCGAACAGAGTGATATTCTCAACCAGTTTTATTACTTACGAGAGCTGAAAATGTATTGAAATGTTGTGATATAAATTGATTTGTGTGTGGTACACATTTATCAATCATCAGTGATCAATATTTTCCTTATTTTTTGTGTAATATTCCTTAATTAATTATTTATTTGCGTGACAGGCCGAATGAAAGGACTAGACCCACATTACATACCGTAACCCTACGATCGTAATTCAAGGACCATTCGTGGATGTTTATATAGGATATCGAAATGAATGCTTGTCAGAACACAGGCATGTGGCGACCGATTCATTAGCAACATACGTGCGAAACGACTGGGCCAATCAATCGAAGTGGTTCCAGCTTACCGAAAGTTAAAATGTTGGTGCTGAAGAAATTTTCAACAGTTGAAAAGTCGCTGTCAAGGGAAGAATATCAGGTTGCCGAAAGGACCCTCTGGAAAATGGCGCAGGCGGATGGATTTCCAGATGAGGTAAGAATTTTCGTCAAGATTCACCAGATAAACGGTGGTAGTCCCATGAAGATAGAAAGAAACAGCAGTTTGTTCAAGCTCTCTCCAATAACCTGTTAAGATCATCCCATTTGAACTCCGATTTCCGATTGTGCTTCCAAAAGGGCATCTTGTCACACGTAAGTTGATAGAACATTACCATCACAAACTAGGTTACACTGGTCGGGAAACGGTAGTGAACGAGCTGAGACAGAGGTTTTACATCCAGAACATCCGTATGGAACTGAGCAAAGTGATGAATGCTTGTGTCTGGTGTAAGATAAAGAACTGCAAACCGGTAACCCCAAGAATGGCCCCATTACCAGCGCAAAGAGTTACGTCAAATCTTCGTCCCTCTAGCTTAACAGGTGTAGATTTCTTCGGACCACTGATTGTTTCGGTGGGGCGTCGATCGGAGAAATGATGGGTTTCATTGTTCACATGCCTGACAACAAGAGTAATTGATGACGATTAGACGATTCGTATGTCATAGAGGGATGCCATTGGAATTTTTTTCTGACCAAGGAACCAACTTTGTCGCCGCGAGTAAGGAGGTAATGAAGACTATTCTAACAAATTGCTGCGAAGCATATACTGATGCAAGGACTAAATGGAAATTTAACCCACCGTCCGCGCCTCACATGGGAGGGGCATGGGAGCGTTTAGTACGTTCCACGACGCAGGCGATGTCAGCTTTAGATGATGGTGGCTTTTGTGGACTGTCTTGGCTGAGGCGGAAGATGTTATCAATTCGAGACCGTTGACATATGTTCCACAAGCGTCGGCTGAAGGAAAGGCTTTATCACCAAACCACTTTCTACGAGGATATCCATCGAGCGGTGCGGAAGGCTCCCCTGTAGCAGCAAACGAAGCAGCAGCTTTGCGTGATCAGTACTCACGGGCTCAATGGTTGGCGAAAGCGTTTTGACAACGTTGGTTATTAGAATATCTGCCATTGATCAACTAACGGAGCAAATGGCACGAAAAACGAGAACCGATCGAGAAAGGAGAAGTAGTATACTTAGCCGACGACAACAACCGTCGAAACTGGTTACGAGGAATCGTGGTGGAAGTCATCAAAGTAGTAGATGGTCGTATTAGACCTGTTAGTACCACAAGCTACAAAAAACTTAGTTCACCAAAATCTACCCGAACAGGCCCAATCTTAGATCCTTAGGCCATCATTAGAGGCATTTGCCCTAACACTTTGGGATTGCAACCGATTAAGAAGACGCCTTCAGTGAAGTTTATTGGATTAATTAGGACTACAATTTGGTGGACAAAATAGTTCATGTTTAGGCCGCGAAGATTGCGCAGTGATACAATTTTTTTTATATTTTGCAAGATAGAGGTTTGCCATTTTGGGCAAAGTTGTTGGATGTAGAGTTTAATAAAAAATTGCCGAAGACAGAAAAGCTGGACATCTTCATGCAACTGAAATATACTAAATTTTATTAAATTTGCTTGAAATTTACGTTTTTAGTATTATATTTACGATCAGAATTATTTTACTATTTTTTCTCGATTGGTACTGATCAATTCAATATTTTCCAGATCAATGCTATTATTTTTAGGGTACTGAAAAATATATATCACACAAAATTAAATAGAAAATCAGGATTTTCTAAATGAATTTTATTCAAAATTTACATCGAATATACCTTAATTCCTCAAAATATATCAGGGGTATATTAAGAAATATATGAGACATTTGTATTTGAATCAAGCAGTATAGCTCTGTTTATTATTACATTCAATTCTCGTTCTTAAGATATTCGTGCTCCACACCCAGTCTAGCGTAGACCTCTCAACTTACCCTATAAATCCATGAACCTACATACTGAGCATACCCTGGAAGATCTCCGAACGTACACTAGACTAGAAGTGACCCATTTGCACTCATCTAAAACTCATTTGCTAGAGGAACTCTTCAAAAATATGATAACTACTCAGAATTGTAACGCGGAGTATTCAGGAATTCCTTCAAAATACTTAAAATTTCTGAATATCCCTTTAAAAAAAAACCTTCGATCTACCAGTGTAAGGTCTATTTACACTAAAAACATTGCTTCCACTTAATCGCACCCTTCTCGAGATTAAACAATCGAGCGATATAGGAGGAGTTCCAAATGGGTTCATCTACGGTTGATTCAAATCCTCACACTATTATCTTCTTATGTCAGTTAGGTACCACAACCACAAGAGCGTTGACCCTAATTAATCAGTCCTAGTGCAGAAATTTCTCTTTGGTATGCACTTTTGTCCAGCTCATTAAAACAATGAACTCACGCTGCTTGGCTCTACGCTAAGAACTGCCGCACATTGATGAATAAATTACCACAACAATTCCAATGCCGCCCTGTTAATTATAACCCATAACGATCACCCCCCCAACAGCAGCAAATGCCTCACTGCATCCACCTGATCGCAGATACAGCAAATCGTTCCGCCCATTTCAAGGAGTGCATCATCACGCACGATTGATCCGCCGGCGTGTTCACTAAGTACCTGCCGTTGAGCCGTTATATAAAACCAATTCCCACGATGGATCCTCAACTAGTAGGTGCAAGCATGCCTCTCGAATCGCAATCCAAAGTGCAGGACTTCTACCGGGGATCAACGATCCTGATTGCCGGTGGAACCGGATTCGTCGGAAAACCTCTTCTGGAGAAGATACTGCGAAGTCTGACGGTGAAGAAAGTCTACCTGCTGATTCGGAGCACACGTGGCGCCAGCGCTGAGGATCGTTTTGAGCGGTTACTGGAAGATCGACTGTTTGATCTGGTGCGGGAGCAGGTCGGGAAAGTGGAACCCGTTGAGGTGGATTACGATCGCAGTGGATTTGGATTGCAAGGCGCGTTAGCTGAACGGCTGCAAAAAGAAGTGCAAGTGGTATTCTACTGTCTGGCTGATGTCAAGTTCAATCAACCGTTGAAGGAAGCTATCCGAACGAACGTCCGGATTGGGAGGGATGTGCTTAGTTGGTGCAGAAGTTTCTCGAACTTGAAGGCAATTGTGCATACGTCAACGTTCTACAGCGATTGCAATAAGTGTTTTGTCGAGGAGAAGGTTTCGGATGAATTACCTTTCGGCAATTATAAATTGTGTATGAAAATGGCTGAGGACTTGTCCCGGGACGAGGGCGAGAAGATAAAGGAGACTGTTTTAGGTGATTACCCGAACACCTATGCCTACACTAAGAAGCTAGCTGAAGTCATGATCGAGAAGGAATTCGCTAGAGATCTACCGATTGGAATATACCGACCACCGGTAGGTAAGTGTCACGATATCAATTTTGTTAAAAATGGCTTCGACCGAACTCATGCTGATCCACAGTATCACCCACGTACTGCGAACCTATGGCTGGATGGACGGACAACTTCTACGGAATCAGTGCGATGATTCGATCCAGCATGGATGGCGTTAATCAGGTTTTCTTAGCTGATAAGAATCAAGCTGGAGACTACGCCCCGGTGGACTGCTGCGTGAATGCCATGCTGGTTTGTGGCTATGACGTCTCGCTGCAAAGATCCAACCGGAATAACACAGATGCGACTGTCTACAACCACGTTGGCAAGACAAACAAGTGTACTCATGGCGATATACTAAGGCACAGCGCGGATTGTAGACCGCGGTTCTGGGAGCGATGGATGTGGTAATATTGGCCAGTGGGAAAGTTATCCGAATTGTACTGAGAGCTTACTTTTCAGGAAATATATGATGATTACTACTACGAACGAATGGGTTTACTACTATCTTCTCCAGCTCAGCTTCTGGTACGCTGGATTCAAGGATTTGATGACCGTATGGCTGGACGGTGCCAACGGAACGGATCAGTAAGTTCTTGTTCAAGTATGTCAACTACAAACCTCTATTATCTCACGTCTTTTTACAGCTACTACTATCGCCGATCACTGCAGCGTTACGCGTTGTACAACCAAGCAGTCGCATTTGTATTGAAACGTTCATGGAGTGCTTACAACACAAATCTTATTCGACTGAAACGACACCTTAACGCAAAAGACCAACAAGTGTTCTACTTTGACCTTGATGACCTGGATTGGTCTCAATACGCCAAGGGTTGCGTCGACGGAGTTTCCCAATTGCTACAGCAACGACTTAAATCCACCAAAATGAAGTTGTGATATCTACTATCAAAACAATTTCAATGCTTGGAGATTATTCTTTGCACAATCGAACCCCTGCAGAACCCTGTGCACACGTTTCACGTTTAAAATTGATAAGTTACATAAAATCCACCGCTCCTCAGGCAGCCTTCCTGCTCTGCCTTCGCTGATAGCACCGCGCTAGGGCCGCCTTGATCCCCGGTAGAAAATTTCGAAAATAGTCCTCCCAGTCCAGCTGATCGATATCAAACGGCAGCAAGGCTCGCTCCTCGTCGCTCATCCGATTCAGCACCCGGCGCATGTTGTCGTTCTCGACGGTCCATCCGTGCATTGCAAAGTAGCGAGCCGCGTCCTCCAGAGCAAACACCCGGTTCAGCGTGAGGAGATTTCTGCAAAAAGGATTCAAAGTTGTATGATTTTCTTCAAATTTTATCAGAGATTTAGGTCTTACTGTCGCTTCTTTCCGACCACAACTAACAACAGATCGGCGGCGACGGCTTGCAGGACGAACCACCAGACGAACATCTGTCGAAGGAAGCGGGAGCTAGTCACAACTATGGCGAATCGTCTGAAATGATGAGGAGAAAGAAGTAGGCCGTTAGCGGTTATGAGCATTTTGTTTCAACAATTATCAACACAACAATTCCAAAAATTATCAACATTAACACAAGTATAAATAGACATGAAATATATGTACATAACTATTGCTCTTTTTGGCATTTTTAGAATTATTTAAACAACTTCAAGCATTTGGGTAAGGTTATTTTGGTAATCATATCCTTTTTTGGTGAGTTTATTTAGACATTTTCAGGTCCATTTGAAATAAGGCATTTTTTCAGTTTCAAATCTCATTTTATAAAAGCTGGCTAAAAGTAAATTGATACGCCCCTCGAGCGCCGCTAGCATGCCTCTAGTGTTGGGAATCGAAAATCTTTGACAGTGGTTTGTTTTCACTTCTATAGATAACAAGTACAAGTTTGATCAAAGTAGTCGATCGCGCTCAGAAATAACGTCAAATGGAACTCGAAAGAAGAAAAAATATTGTACACAAACGCCTGGAAAATCCGGAGTGGTCCGGTTCCAAGCTGGCTAAAGTGCTGAAGATGCCGAAAACAACAGTTTGTCGAGTGCTCAAAACCTACAAGGAAACTTTGAGTGTGGAAAGGAATCAGCGGAGCTACGAAAAAACTGGAACCAGGAATCGTCAGCTGCGCAGCAAGATGTTAAGGTGCGTTAAAGCCAACCCCGGTCTTTCGATCCGAGATGTGGCCAGAACGCCAACTTTCAAACGGTATGGAACATCTTTGCCATGGAAGGATACAAGTCATACAAAGTAAACATCCGAACTGGCACATGAAGCAGGCGCCGGTGGTGTAGTGGTAGGCGTGACTGCTTTCTAACTCCCCAATGAGTCTGGGTTCAATCCCAGCCGAGATCAGTGGGATTTTTCTGTGGCATAAAAATCTCTGGTCACGTCTTCCTTCGGAAGGGAAGTAAAGCCGTTGGTCCCGGCCCATGTGTGTTTGAATGGGTGCGATATCCTACGCAAGTGTGGAAGCTGCCTTCCTGCACATTCGATTGCCGTCAATGGATGGCAATCGATGTCCGTCGGTGATTGGCACTAGATTGCGGAACAGAGACCGACGTTAAATAAAGGAAATAAGAAGAAGAAGAAGAATTCCGTGGCCAAAAAGCGTGCAAGGCTCCTGGACGACCGTGTTTTGACGAAACACAACGGCACTTCGATCGATGACGAAACATACGTCAAACTCGACTTTAAGCAGCTTCCTGGTCAAAAGTTTTACATCGCGACTGGACGTGAGGATGTGACGGGAAGATTCAAGTTCTTGTTTGCCGACTAGTTCGCGAAGAAGGCCATGATTTAGCAAGCGATTTGCAGTTGCGGCCTGAAAACGGAACCATTCGTCAGATCCTCGACGATGACATCCCAAGTTTACATCGAAGAATGTCTGAAAAAGCGTGTATTTCCGTTCATAGGAGCAAAGTCATCTTTTGGCCCGATTTGGTCAGCTGCCCCTACTCCAAGGTAGTTCTGGAGTGGTATGCTGCCTTCAAGATTGATTTTGTCCCCAAGGTAATGAATCTTTCGGAATTTCGACCAATCGAAAAATACTGGGCAATTTCAAAGCAGCGACTTCAAAGAAGCAGTCAAGGGCAGTCAAGGACATTCAGTAAATGCGGGCAAAATGGAAGAAATGCGCTGATTCCGTGTCCTTTTCCACTGAGCGGGCACTGATGAGCTCCATCAAGAGGAAGGTTCGAGATTTCGTTCGAACTGGAGAAATATAACTATCTAATGCTGTAAATTTGAAGTTTTAATAAAATTACTGGAAAGCAACCATTAATGGAGTTTTTAAACTTATTTAATCAAGAATTACAGGTCATTTTGTGCGTACCAATTTTCTTTTCGTCTGCCTTTACATTCAAAGTGTTTTTATGTTACTTCATACGTGAAGTTTACGATTTTCAGAGTTGGTTGGAAATGCTATCTAACATGAAGCTTTAGTGTGATAACTTATTAGCTAGAGAAAGGTCTGAAGAGGGTAGGTTGACAGGTTTGCTAGAGTACGGCAGTATGAAAATTGGATAGAAGTTAAACATGAGCGAAGGGTCATTAATGTGACAGTCATTGGCGTAAATAATGGTGGTACCAAGGGGGCCATGCCCCCTCCAGAATTATCCAGCCCCTCCCCCCAGAAATTGTTTAACTCACCGGTATTTTGTAAAGCTTGTCAAGTTCGATGTTAATATTTAACAGTCATCAATCAAATTGGATCACAACCAACGATTTTTTTTAAAGCTCATGTTAAATACTTTTCTTATGTTCTGGACTTGAAAAAACAAATTTGAGAAATTATATTATATCGATATTTAATCGATAACAAAATAAGACGTCTTCAGGCTCTAGAAATTGGCAATGAGCCCCGGGATTTGTCTTTAACTTCTGGGAACTTCGTAAAACGTAGAGGACGTCTAAGAAGTTCAGGATACATCGTAGAAATTGAGGAAACGTAGTATAAATTCTGAGAACTTCATAGATGTTTAGATAAATTGGAAAAGTTCTGAAAACTGCGTAGAAGTGGAAAATTTATTTAAGTTTGAGGAGCTTCGAAAAAGTTAAGGAAGCATTATTTTACTTCAGGGAAGCTCATTATTGACCGGAAACCTCTATATAATTTAGGGCATTTTTTTGAAGACTCATGGAATTGGAATAGTTGTGAAAATTACGTACAGATTCAAGAAATTTCGTTCTTGGGACTTCGCTGAAAATCAAAGAGAAACGTAGAAGTGCAGCACACTTTGTACAAGTTTTGCGAATTTCGTAGCATTTTGAAAAGCTGCATAAAACTTCATATAAGAGTAAGGAATTTTGAAAAAGTTTAAGGAATTTTGTAGAAGATCTTAAAATAGTTCAATAAACTTCTAAGAACTTTATTGTAGTTTGTCAGAGATCGTACTTAAAAAAAGTTCCATAAACTTCTTGGAGGTTTTGGGTACTTGGTTAAATTTCAAGGAACCTCTCAAATGTTCAAGAATATTTTTAGATGATAATTGACTTTCCAGAAATGCAAAGATGTTCAGACTTCGTAGAATTAAGAGAGTTGAAAAAAATATGAAATTTGGAATAAGTTCAGGGAACTTAGTAAAAGTCGAGAAAATTTAGTAAAGCTTAAGGGAGTTTTGTAGACTTTCAGGAATCGTTGCATAAGTTTCTGGATATTTTTCCAGGCATCCTTCCTGGTAAGCAGGAAATATTCAAAAGATCTCCATAAAGACGAAGATTTAAGTAAAGTTATCTGCTATATCCTAAGACTTTAGGTTGATCAAGTTCTGAGGATCTCCAACTGTTTGAAGATTTCAATATTCTTTCAAGGCTGAAGGTTGTTCAGGAAGTATTCAAAAGTTTTTCACCTAATTGAATATGCTGAAATCTTGAATGATGAATCAAGATTTTATGAAAACGTTTGTACATTATATATAGGGAAGACCCGTGCCTTGGCGCACTCCAGCAACTAAATTCCGGGTATATTTTTGAGATGGAAATTTCTACAAATACCCAATTTGTATAAACAATTTTTTTTTCCATGCAACTTATGCCCGGCATTCAGCTGCAGGATAGCTTGAATGGCTTAGCACATAAAAAAAATCCGTGCAACGTGGGGTAACGTCACTAGAACTATTCCACAACCACAGTTCTTTTTTGGCTGTAGATTTGAAGACATACTTCAAGTCTCCTCATCCATTAATGTATGAGTTAGGTAAAGAAGTGTCCGCTTGAATAGTACTGTCGCATTAATGGCCCTTCGCTCATTTTCCACTTCTATTCAATTTTCATACTGCCGTACTCTAGCGGAACTATCAACCTACTCTCTTCAGACCTTTCTCTAGGTAATAAAATATCACACTAAAGCTTCATGTTAGATAGCATTTCCAACCAACTCTGTATTTTTGATTAAATAAATTAAAAACACTGAACAAGCTCTTACCCGCATGAAGTACGTGTAAATAATAAATTGGTAACGAATGGGTTTAACCAAAACTAGCTCCATTTAAAATAAAAAAAAGCTAGCTCCATTTAAAATAAAAAAATATATTCAATTAGTATCTAGTTACAAACAGGGACAAAATTATTCAAGCTCATGCCTTTCGATCATAATTAAAGTTAAATCTTGTTTTTATATATAACTCCAAATGGTAGTTAGTCCAATGCATCGAATGAAAAATTGTTCCGGTTAAACGCTTTTTTAACATTCTTTCTCTTCAAATATCAGAATTGTGACATTCGAAATCCGGTATCTTAAAAACTTGATGAAATTAAATTTTCATTTTCTTAAAGTTCAATATGCCAAAATTTAATAGACCTGGACGCTATTAACAAACGATCATTGCTGGATCAAAATTAGTAAGCTTTTTAGCTCGCCCAATCGAGGAAATAAATATAATAAAATGTATTGTTTCACCATAAAAATAATAGTAAGCCTCAATATCATATTTTTGGTTACCGAAAAAATTGGCCCAAGAAACAAGTTGTTTTGATGCAATTTGATTGAAAGGCATCTTCGCGAGTTTAGCTAAATAAAAATAAATGCCACAGGCCACCCTTAGGCCCCCTCCAGATACATTTTCTAGCTACGCCAATGGTGACAGTCCTAGCCAAAAGCACACTTCTTTACCTAACTCATACATGAATGTATGAGGAGACTTGAAGTATTCCTTGAAATCTACAGGTAGTGATGAAACGTCACTAGAACTATTCCAAGTCAAACGTGCACCTTTTTGCCTGCTGCTGAGCTGCTAGTGGAACAAAAGCAGCACAGACAAACAGACGTACCTTTTCATTCTGGATCATCGTTTGCGCATTTAACGATTGGTTTGAATGTTATCGTTTCTGGGAACTACTCGCCGCAGCGCTGGCATCGGATCACTATGACGTTTCTATATATTCGGTTTTTCTTGCATGCAACATTGTTTGCGAATCAGCGAGCAAGTTTGTTTTTCGCGAGAAGCTAGCGAGATGTCGTTACTGCAGTCCTATGTTTGGCGGTACTATTTGTTGAAGATAATTTTATTCAAAGAGTTACGTCTGTTTGTCTGGGAAAGCAGCCAACGTCATCATGAGCGAATAACCCTATCTGCAAAGATTGGACTGTTTTAACAGTTATGCGAGATGCGGTACGAAGACGGTGAAGGCATCGAGCAGCATTTGTATGAGACAGACCGATTTATTAGAGAAACTCTCGAAAGCTGGCACGAATCTTGACCGTGAGCTGGAAGTGATGATGGTACTAGCATACCGAAGTCGTTCCGTAGCCTCACAACTGCATTGGACTGTCGCAACGAATCTAAAGTTACTCTGGAGCTCGTCATGCTGAAAGTAATTGATGAAGTACCAAGGGGTGGTCACTCTACTCAACACACTTGCTTTGCACCAACTTTTTTCTCAGTATACCTCAGTGTGCCGCAGCTGGCATGGCAGTGCCGAGAAGTAATTGAACTGACTTTTGTTGGCTTGTGAATAATGAATTGTTTGGCAACCCGGTATTTTGACAACTCTTGATTTTGTTTTATTTTTCGAAACCTGAGAACTCAATTGGCGACGACGATTTTGGGCGTCCGGAGTCGGAAAGCGACAGCGGTTAAGTCACGACTGTCGGATCTTCGAAATCGAAAGGTGCTAAGCGCAAAGCCATTCCAAGTGAAGAACAGACGAAGAACACCAACGGAAGATCAAAGCCATGAAGCAGCTGTACAAACCGCCGGCGGTGGAGGAAATCAATTGGTTGAAGGAACCGCAATATTTCTACCATTCGAATCTGTTCCGCCTGCAGGTGAAAGAGGTGCTAAGTGAGGTGAAGGGGAAATTCAAGGTGTTAAATTATATTGAGCGTTGGTTGGGCGATTTCCGGAAGTTTCTGAGGACGGTAAAAGATGCGGACAATGAACGATCTCTGAACGATGTGGATTATGAAGGGGTTGATTTTACGCTGGCATTTCCCGACGGCTCGCATGTTATCGCCAAGGAAAGCTTCAAATTCGTTCAGCAACGGATCGTGCACCATGTTGGATCCAGTCGTCTGGGAACATCTTATGGCAAGCCACTGAAAGTGGATTTACTGCTGGAGATTCCGGACAAGTGTTTCCGGAAGGAAGATTACCTCAACTTAATTACCTTAACTCACATGTAAAGGGCACATTTCCTGTGCCATTTGGCGGTCGGAAACATTGGACAAACAGACAAAGTACTGTTTGGCCAGTGGGATGCGCTTCATTCCGCTAAAAGGGGACATTCGATGAAAAATTTGCCAATCGCGTTGTTTTTGTGTCGGCACCTTCCTCTTCTTCGTCGAAGTCTCCTTCCTTCGAGATCAGTAGCGTGCCCATGCCTGTGGAGAGGAAGGTATTTTTGCTACTGAATTCCGCCAACGTTACAACGCGTAAGCTGAAAGTCCTGCAGGCAATCGCAACCCACGGATTCCTTACGAACAACATCCACCACATAATCCACCAGTTCGGCACCCTTGGTGTAGTGTCGTTTGGATCAGTTGTTACCAGCACCGGACTGTCCGAAAACGAAGTTATTTGATCGGAACAGCTCTGCGAATGGTCCCGCTTGAACCGCACTTTCCCCCGATCACGTGAGCCTGAGTAACGACTTTAATAACGGAGCTGGACCCGGTAATGTTGAGATTGATTGAGTGGTGTTGCTATGCAAACGATTGCCTTGATTTTTTCATGTACCTACTTCTTCGGACAGGCAATAGAATGTGTGCTGACTGTACGATTGTGGAGAATCAGTGGCGGAACTTGATGGAGATTCACGGTTGTGGTTTGTAAAAATTGGATTGTATTGTGGCAACATCAATAACAAATGTTGACACATGCACACTGTGCAGACGCAGAAAAAGTTCAGTGTTGCCAGTAACTTTACAATCTTAAAAAATGTAACCATGGGTGCCAAATAGCGCCAATGAATGCGCTCGGGTGTGCCCAAGTTTGTTTTTGGCACACTGTGTAGAGTGACCAATCCCTTGTGAAGTACTCAAGTGCGGACGTGAAGGTTCATCAGGACGTGATGAAGCTGGAAAACCGGATACAGAAGAAGAAAAACAGTGCTATTGTGTGCCACAACACAACTGCCACAAGAAAAAGAAGCATTGCAACGTCAAAGTAAACACGGATGTTCATGAGGATTCAAGGCATCACAGGTATGCGCAGGCCAAAGTGACAAAATCGGATGCTGGAACATTTGTGTTTTCAGTTACCAATTCCGTAAGAGAATGGATTGCGGACTCGCGAACCGAAAGTTTTTCATGGAGATGGGACAACGAAAGGCAGAAATGCCCAGGGAAGTGGTAGTTTTTTTTTCCTTGAATTGTTTACCGTCGATCTTATTTTCCGTGCTGAGCACCAATGCTACCGACGCCAGGGAGGCAACTCCCACACCTAGACCCATCAACTCATGAACCGAGGACCAACGGCTTTACTTCCCTTCCGTTTTATTACCTTAATAGATGCTTAGAGATCTTTGGGGAAGAACAGATAACTTTAAAGCAGTTACATTAATTTCAAGAAGTTGCAGGAAATTGCAAGATGTCCCGAGGAACTATGGAAAATTGCATGATCTTCAGGAAAGTTTCATAAATTCTGGGATGATCGCTGGGACATTAGGCAAGTTTCAAAAACTTCAGCGAAGTCCAGATAAGTTCAAGAAAGTTCAGAGATTTTGAAGGATGAAGAGAGGAAAGTTCAGATATTTAGTGTAGTTATAAGAACTTCAGGGAAGCTCCTTTTTTAAGTCTATTCCATCAGACTGGTTCAAAGAATCAGTTCCTAGAAATTCAGGGCAGTTCCATGAATTTCAATAAAATTGCTAGAACTTCAGTGACAATCTTGGAAATTAAAATATTTTGATTAAGAATTTCAGGAAACTTGACCTTAGAGAAACCCTGATAATTTCAAGGAAGTCCAAAGAACTCCAAACAAATTCCAGAAAAATTCCGGGAGCGTACGAGAAAATTCATAAATATTAGGAAAATTGCGGCAACTGAAGAGAAGTTGCGAGGACATCTAGTGAATTTTTCAAACTTCAAAAAAATCCAAAGAAGTTTGGAGATTTTAATCGGAATTCCGTTAGCATACTTCAAGGAAGATCAAGGAACTTCAGGAAAAGTATATTCACCTCAGGAAAATTGTGGAAACTTTTCACAAATTCTGTGGGATTAAGGGAAGTCTTGGGAATGTCTGTAAGCTCAGATAGTTACTGGGAAGCCCAGAGAACTTTAGGGAAATTTAAAGAAATTTAGGAAGAGAGTATCGGAAAGTTGATAAAAATTCTAAAAAGCTTCAAAATCTTAGGTATTTATAAGTTATTTTCTCCTGCTCGGGAATCTACATCTAAGAAAAAAAAATCCAGTGTATGAAATTTGAATTGAAATGGTAAAACGAATTCCGGACGAAAATACATTTTTTAATTACTCGCGTCCCGTTTAAATACGCCTAAAGGCAAAACAAGTGTGTGACGGGGTGACTAGACTTTTTTGTTTGTTTAGCTATTAATCACCGCGACGTGCTTGACATACCATCATGTACGTAAAAATGCAAATTGACCGTCTACTAGAAATTGAGTTTTTTTGCGGCAACGTTCTGCTTTAAAGGCATATTGAGAGATGCATGCATACTATGTATTTATCTGTTTAGGGACTGTCCAGAAGGTACGGCGACAACTTAGGAATGCCTACGGTTTATATCAAATCGGCTGTGTAGTCCCTGGTGGTCTAAAACCACTCAGAAAATAACAATGTTGTTTATGGACAGCACCTTATTCCATTCGACTGGAGAGTCGTGAAGTGAACCTAACAAACATGTCAACCTCGCTGTTTGCGTAGAGAGTTTACCCGTGTACTTAATCAAAGCAAATTGACTGAGTAAGTACACACAATCAACAGTGTTGGGTGAATTATGTGACGGTATCAGTTGTATTTGTATTTGACTTATCACGTGTGTCTAGAAAAAGATCAGATAAGATTTTAATATGTTGATTTTATTTGCAATAATTGCCGTGATGCCTCTTTGGAAAGGTATTGGTGTCCAAAATTGAATGATGGACACTGAAATCGACTTTGGTCACATCACGAAATTACTGCCAATCACGAAATGCAAGGTTCTTTAACAAGTTTTGTATAATAGATAAGTGAATGTGACCATCGAAAGATCTTTTAAACAATTTCATAAACTTAATGTTGGCTAGTTCTGTGCAGTTGATTTACACTATAAACTCACAAAAGAGCTCGAAAAATCTCAGTCGTTAACACATTGTGTCATTTCAGCCAGTTTTTAGACTGACGTTAGACTAATGTGAGGATGAATTTTAGACTAATGATCTAACACGTTCGACTAATATTGAGCTCATATTACACGAACATTCCCTGCAAGGAAAGCGTAGGTTACTCTAAATTTCTCCATACGAATGAGTAAAAGTGACTCAATCTCGAAGTTATTTTCGTTTCAGTGCAAAAGCTGAGCAATTCGCACAACTTTGATCCAAACATCAGCCTCATTCGTACAATCGCTATCAGAACCAGAGATGCCATATTTGAAAACATTTCTTCATTTTGATGACATTTGAATATTTGCGAAGTTATTTTGTTTTTGAAGACACATTGAAGACATTTCATGTTTTGTGAAGACTTTTGAAGGCATGAAGATATTTGAAAATTATTGTTTTGGTACACACAATTGAAGTTATTTCTTAAAAGGTAACATTTCGACTGCAAATTTCAAATACAAGTATACCTCGAGGTAACGTAACTGTCACTTTTGAGTTTCATCGTCGGTTTCTCGCAAACAACAATTCAATCACACAACTCTTAATATTTAAAAAAACTACAAGAGACAGCCCTATAGGGTTGTGCGCAATGGTGACGTAGGACTACGTGGTCTTATATAATAAATGTTATTTGTTAACTGCAGCAGGAGCTTGTGTTTTGAGTAGGAATAGGAATTTTAGCGGGGTACTCTCTGTTTATACTCTTTAGTATGACGTGCTTGATATAGATGGCCCACAGCCACTCTCGAAGAGCTATTGATTCCGATCAATGGTGGTGCGGCTTCTTCCTCCTTTCGTTGTGTACTGGAGGCAGCCTTTCGTTGTGTACTGGAGAACATCACCTATCGGGACGCGTTGATTGAACAAACACCGTTTGGTGAGACTGGATGGAATTCAACTTTGAAATCTGTGTTAGGGAAATCTCTTTTCACAGGCAATCTGTGATAATTTTAATTATCAAAGCAATAGTTGCAATGATAATAGAAAAATGATAAAGTCTTCAATTTAACAGATGCGTAGAAATATATATGATCGATTGGTGATAAAATTATTGAAATTGGTCCAGGGGCAGCTGAGTTATTAACGTTCAAAATCTTTCAGAATTTCGTTACATGATCCATTTTTGCTTTTCACAAAGTGTACCCGGATATAGAAATCACAGACGTAGTCCTACGTCAAAAAACTTGTTTTTATCGAAACTATCTTAAAACCCTACACAGGATTTTTTAATTTCTTTAGAGTTCTCTTAGAATTTCCTCAAAATCCATCTTTGTACTTTCTCTAGTATTATCTTTCGATTAACTTCATTACAATCTAGGAATTCTCTACAAACTCTTGGAATTTTCCATTGAAACCTTGTCAAATTTCAAAGCGTTGTATAAGTAATATCCCAAAACCTAAAAGTTTGAAAAGTCCATTAATGGTTGCTTTACAGTACCTCTATTAAAACTTCAAAGTTACAGCATTAGGTGGTTAGATTTCTGCAGTTCAAACGAAATATCGAACCTTCCTTTTGGTGGAGCCCATCAGCGCTCGCAAAGTGAAATTGGACACGGAATCAGCGCATTTTTTTCCATTTTGTCCGCATTTGCTGGATTTCCTTGACTGCCCCGTCGTTTCGTCGAAGTCGCTTCGTTGAAATCGCCCAGTATTTTTCGATTGGTCGAAATTGCCCGAATAATTCGGATGATTCATTAGCTTGAGGACAAAATCGATCTTGTTGGCAGCATACCACTCCAGAACCACCTGCAGCTGGGTGCTGGGTGTATCGTCTACAACCGTGCATCGAGCCAAAAAACGAGCCGGACTATCGACTTACAAGAAGGTAGTGACTCCAAATCGCGATGATAAACAAA